AATTTCAATCCATGTGTGAGCAGGCTGGTTTTACGAAAGTCGATCTACTGGTCAATTTGTGTGCAACCAGTCTGTTTGCTTTTTCCCGATGATCAGTGCCACAAGTTATAGCCGGCAACACTGATTCTTCTGAAGGCTCCTCTCTATCACAATATAGCACCAGAGCAAGAGGGATTCCCCTATACATATCAAATGTGTGGATGGGGGAATTGAGGCATTTTCTTTCATTGAACCTGCTGGTTGAATTGAAATATGCATAATATATGGGCTGCCTTGCTGACAATCAGATCAATCCCTGGATCAACCTATTTAAATTTCAACAAGTAAAATTCCCTGTTGACTTAAAAATGTTATACTATACTGAGTAAGAAAGATGTCTAAAAGTCTGCTGAATTTATCAACACTCTCTGATAATACTACTTCATGGGGAAGACATCGCCACATTTTCACTGCTTTAACAGTAAAGAACCCTCTTTTCAGCATTAGTGCTTTTTCACATCATAAAGTCGCGCTGAACACAACCCTTGGTGTGTGCTGGGAAGCACTCTGCATATGCACTGATCCCAGAGAATTGCACTGCTTACTTTTTTTCATAAAACTTTATTGAAATTTCATGAGTGACAATTCAATGCAGTTCTAATTACCACAGCAGAAATGTGACGTGCACAGACAGCATAGGAAACAAGACGTTTTGCTTTGTCTATATAAAGGGGTTACGCTGGAAATAGGTTAACAGTGTAGCCACAATGCATCTGGTGTGAATGAGCCCTTATAATGAACACGAAAAAGAATGGTCTTTAATGTCCTCTGTAATGCAATCTAGGAATTCTTACATAATATACAGCCAGAATAAACTGTGTAATAAAACATTGATGTTTTCATCTCCTGCTTTCTCTCTATACATATATCTTTGGGACATGGATTTCAAACTTTAATATCATGCAGATGTGAATCAGACCATCTTCAATTACTCCTCTGATGTCTGCAGGCTCTTCCTCTTTATAAAAAAATCCAGAACATCAGTTTTCCTTGATGCTGAGCCTGGCTTTAGACACAGACAGAAGGATTGGAAGTCTGATGTCACCCCAGACACCAGTTACATTCCTGACCTCCCTCAAGGGAAGCCCTTCTGTCTTATTCCTGACTCTGGGATCCGGACACAGCTCACATATTGCTGTTGGGTTTTGGCCATATGATCGTAGCTGTAACTGCGAAATGTTGATTTGATATGTAAAAAAAATAAAAAGATACTGCTGCTGGAAGCGATCATCTAGGAGAGGCACATTACAGACTGGAAAAAAATACAAAATGTTTCAGTTGACAGTGTTTTATAACTTTACATCAACAGTTAAACCACTAGAAGTAGAAGCAGTGGATTGAAGAATTAGTATGATTACTGATCATATTACTTACTATACTAGTTGTATACGTGTCATGCCTGGAGTTCATATGCAAAACAGAATGATAAATGTAATCGTCTGAACCTTTTAATTGCTGTCCACAAAAACAAATGATCACATTAATTAAGAATAAGGCATATTTATTAGGCATGGAGCAGTTTTGGTGCCATACACTGCGACGTAAAGGCAACTCTTAGGCTACGTTCACACTAGCCTTGTTAGCAAGCGGCAGACAGGCGTTTGGGAAGCGTTTTTACAGTTTCCCAAACGCCTGGGAAAATTCTGCACATTGCAGCACATAGTGCTGTTCAAACGGGAGCGTTAGCGTCGCGTCAAAACAGACGCCTCTGGTTAAGTCAGGAGGAGTTGAAGCCTCCTATTCAAGTCTATGGTGCTGCTCCGCAAACGCCTGGCTGGCGGTTGCGACGCAGTTGCAAGGCATTTGCGGAGCGGTAACACCATTCAAACTTCATTATAGGCATTTGTGGGGCATTTTTAACGCTTGGCAAAAGCCTAGCAACCGCCGCTAAACTGCGCATGCGGCATTTGTAGAGCGTTAAAAATGCTCCACAAAAGCTGGACCAACGCTTGGCAAAAGCTATAGGGGCGTTTGGCAAGAGTTGGAAAAACAGTCAAGTGGGAACGAGCCCTTAGAACTAAAGTAAGACCATAGTTATAGGTTATAAATTGTAAGCTCCAAGGAGCAGGGCCCTCCTAACCCTCTTGTATTGAACTGTATTATTTCTGTATTGTCTCCCTTTATATTGTAAAGCGCTGAGCAAACTGTTGGCGCTATATAAATCCTGTATAATAATAATAATAATAAACGTAACCACAACAACATGAAGAATTTAGGCACAACTTTTCCCGATATAAAAAATTCGATATTACAAAACAGAAAAATGAAGTACTTAAAGTAGTTATAAAGGCATTCTCAGCATTAAGGTAAAAAATCTTCCAATAACAGTGCCCAGCAGCCCCCTCCCTAACACCTGAGTACTCTATCAATCCAGCGCTGTGCCCAGCTTCACTTCCCTCCCTCTCTCTCCGCTCTCACAAGCTTGACTGAGAGCAGCAAGAGCCATTGGCTATCGGTCAAATCATGTGAAGAGGGATTGGGGGGCGGGGTCAAGCCACACTATGTGCTTCTGTAAACACACACAGCACAGCTTGGGATGGAGCCCTGTCAAGGTCCTACCTTTTCCCTGAGGTTATGTTACTCCATGTGCTGGCGTCCATCTTGTGCTGTGCATGGTGGGAATCCTTTTATGCCTTCAGGTCTCCGTGGTCCATCCCCCAGAGGGGTGTGGCTGATGACATATAAGCCTGTGGCCCGCACATGCTCTTTGCACTTGTGTCTTGTGTCTTTGTGTTGCTATTACTCTGTTCTGACTCTCGTGACTCTCCTGGTATCTGATTCGGCTTGTGACTTGACTATTCTTTGTATTCTCCTTTCATCTGACCCTCTGTTGCTGAACCCGGCTCGTGACCTGTGATTCTCGTCTGCTGTCCTGTACTGTTTTGTCCTGTTGTTGTTGACCCGGCTTGTCTGACTACTCTTTTGTCTCTTCCACCAGCTACACGCCATTGGCGGCGGCCATTACCGCAGCTGAGGTGTCTCGGGGGCCGCGACCTGGTTCCTGGCTGCGTCAAGTCCATCCCCACCCCATCAGGGGCCCTGGTGAAGGGCAGCCTGGGACTTAGACTCCGCGCCCTGAGGGACTTCGGTCTGTGGGTGGTGGTTGTCGTCAGCCAGTGCATTACATTGTTAGGCCTGCCTGTCCGTTCCTCAGGTCCTGCCCTGACAAGCCCGCACGTGTGCCACCATATGAAGGGGCTTGCTTTGGGGGCAGATGGAGAAGAGGAGGAGTGGACACAGTTGGCATAGGACTACAAAAGAGGAGGTTCGGGCTGTTCTGTGCAATACCATTGCACAGAGCAGCTAAGCAGAACATGTTTCTTATTTATTTTTAACTTTACAACCACTTTAAAGGTATTTTTAAAGTAGAAATCAAGGAATGAATGCAGTTTTAAAAATGTGCTGGCTTAAGTTGGTTAAGTCCAAGGAGATATAAGCCACCTCTGGACTTCCCTCTTATTAACAATTTACACTTTTCAGGAGTTTAGCTAGCCTTATCTTCCCAGCACTCTGAGAATAGATGCTGTTGTGTTGCACAGCAAAGGCTCTGCTCACCAACAATCACAGAAACTTTATATTTTGTGAATGGTTTCATATTAAACAAAGTGCTTTGTTACTGAACAGGAAGAGCAGTCAAAGTGGCTGCAAATGACTCTACAGCTTCTGTGGAGGAGACCTGAAGGTCCAGTGTCAGAGCAACAAAAGCAGAGTTATAGCTATACTTCCAATGCCCTGTGAAAGTCTAAATTGTAAACAAAAGAGATAAGTCCGTGGGGTGGCATACACCTAGTTTACCATCACCCTTTATAAGCTAGCCATTTTTAAAAGTGCATACAATTCTTTAAACAAGAAGTGATAACTTGGCACATATGAACTTGCCCTAATGTCCAAAAAAACACAACTGCATTGTTCTGAATCTCCTCCTTTTTTCCCCATAATACAGTTCTTGTATTCTCACAAGAGTATATTTGTGAGATCCAGGTATGCCTGCTGACAGTACAGCCAGGTTAATACTGCTTTGGTCAAGGATCTCATCCCAGCCTGTGATTTTCTTTCCCCACCAGCACATCTTATGACAGCAATGTGAGCAGGAATGCTTCCACTGCACTGTTACAAAGAATCCCAGAGCCTGCCGATAAATAATTTATTGCAGCTATTACAGCCATGAGCTTGTTTTAACGCTTTCAATGCTCTACAAGTCATTGGCAGTGAAATACCGTATTTTTCGCTCCATAAGACGCACTTTTTTCCCCGCAAAAAAGGGGAGAAAATGTCAGTGCGTCTTATGGAGCGAATATAAAGCGGCCGGTCCGGTATTTCCGCCGCCACCATGTCAGAATACCGGGCCGGCCGCTCAGCTGTTCTCTCCTGCAGGGCCTTACCTGTTCCTCGCTCCATCGCTGCACAGTCTTCCCGCGCTGTCTTCTGTGACAGCCGGGTGCCCACTGCGCATGTGCTGCGCTTTGTGAATGGTCCAGTGTTTTCTGGGACACATGACAGGTCCCAGAAGGCGCCGGGCCATTCACAAAGCGCATCGCATCTCGCGCATGCGCAGTGGGCACCCAGCTGTCACAGAAGCTGGCGCGGGAAGAAGAGGGAAAGACAACTCCGCGGAAGTGGAAGCGGGTACCTGTCAAATTCAGGTACCCTCCCCCCTTCCTCCCCAAAGGTCAGCAGTCTCTGGTCATCCCCTGCACTGTCCGCAGTCTCTGGTCATTCCCTGCACTGTCCGCAGTCTCTGGTCATTCCCTGCACTGTCCGCAGTCTCTGGTCATTCCCTGCACTGTCCGCAGTCTCTGGTCATTCCCTGCACTGTCCGCAGTCTCTGGTCATTCCCTGCACTGTCCGCAGTCTCTGGTCATTCCCTGCACTGTCCGCAGTCTCTGGTCATTCCCTGCACTGTCTGCAGTCTCTGGTCATTCCCTGCACTGTCTGCAGTCTCTGGTCATCTGTACTGTGTCCACAGTCTCTGGTCCATCTCCTGTACTGTGTCCGCAGTCTCTGGTCCATCCCCTGCACTGTGTCCGCAGTCTCTGGTCATCTCCTGTACTGTGTCCGCAGTCTCTGGTCATCTCCTGTACTGTGTCCGCAGTCTCTGGTCCATCTCCTGTACTGTGTCCGCAGTCTCTGGTCATCTCCTGTACTGTGTCCGCAGTCTCTGGTCATACTGTGTCCGCAGTGTATCTCCTGTGTGTCCGCAGTCTCTGGTCATCTCCTGTACTGTGTCCGCAGTCTCTGCAGTCTCTGTGTCTGCAGTCATCCCCTGTACTGTGTCCGCAGTCTCTGGTCATCCCCTGTACTGTGTCCGCAATCTCTGGTCATCCCCTGTACTATGTCTGCAGTCCATTGGTTCAGAATATTTTTTTTTCTTGTTTTTCGCCTCTAAAACCTAGGTGCGTCTTATGGAGCGAAAAATACGGTAGTTAAAGGGTAACTATACCTTAGTAAAAATAAAAAATAAAAAAAATAAGAAATGCACATCTTTTTGCAGGTTAAAAAAAATGTGCATTAATTATTTTTTTTTACATTTCAGCCTGTACGGCATTGCACCTACAATCATCAGATCAAGGGTGCAATGTGTGGGGAGAATATCTTCTGGCTTGCTGCAGGGAGGGATAGATCCTCAAAGACCACTCTAAAGTCATTCTTAACCAGAGCTCCTACAGATTTTGGTAGGGTTTCCTTGCGCTGTGGATAATTAACCTCCCATTTGATGCTGATTTTCATAATTTTGGGGCCCATTCTATTTGGGGGAAAAATTAGCATGACGCCAATAATATTTTTAAATATCTGTAAGAATATTCTTCTCACTGGCCACCAATGTAAGGGGCATTTTTCCCACTTATCCCCGATTTTAATAGAGGTTCCCCTAGAACGGAAAATATTTTAAGGGTTCCTCTGGGGTAAAAAGATTGATCAAGGCCAATCTAGTCAAGTCTTGGTTGTTTCTGACAGCTTAAAACCACTTGCGGTGTATTATATTATTAGAGCTGGTAGCCTCCCAACATCTATTTTCCAAATAAAAAGCTAAGATTTTGATAACTACAGTATGTTATGAATTCTGAAAACAAAATTTATGTACCAGGATTACAGAGATGAATGAGAGTTTGTGTTGAAGTCCTTTTACGTCCTGTTCAGAATATGTAAATAACTTACCCCTGGTTCACATTTATGAGGCCTTGTGGGCCGTGTATTGCGCGGGCATGATAGCCCATTCATTTGAATGGACTTTCATGCCCAGTGACACGCAGGGAAGAAGTCCCTGCACCACTTCTGAAAACGCAGCACGCATCGGAACCTCTGTTCCCAGTATGGTTGCATTTTCCAGTGTGGGCGGTGTGCCATTAGAAGTAATGGCACCCGCACGCGGGTCTGCATTCCTCTGTGCGGGTGGTACAGCTGCACAGATTTTCATGTGGATCCGCATCGGTACCACCCTCACATATGTGAACCAGGGCTAAATGTGCATGATTTGGGCACAGGTTTACAATAAGTATTTTTGTTCACCTTTAACTATTATTAATATTTTCTTAAGTCTAGCCCACTCTGTACCTCTACACAGAAGGTATGACATGCATTATTATTAACAAATTTGCCAAATGGAAGTCTTTAGGTTAAGAAAAAAACTGATTTCTCAAGTTCTACAGATAAATGTGGGGATGAAAAAAGAAACATAAAAAACACATTCCAAACCCTAACATACACACAGCCAACATACTCAGTAATTCAGGTTTTCATCTATGCACTGCAGTACTGTACTAATCCACCCTAGTCACTTTTGCCATTAATCTAGTGATCCTGGAAAATGCCTGTTTGAGACCCTGGAACACCCAAAGCAGGCTATTTGTTGTCCCTCAATGATTGTAATCAACCAAAAGAAATGCTACACTAGCACTAAAATATGCCTCACATACGTCACTCTGAATCAAACCTACCTTGGAAGCCCAAATGTGACTGCTGATGCAGTTGTATAGCACAGGCTCCTGGAAATACACTTCTACTGCTTGCCTACTGATCCTGTTAGATGGTCTGTGAAGATCTTGCTTCATTACAATACAGAAAAAAAAACAGTTTAATTTAAACTGTGCGGTGTCTCTGATTTTAACACAAGTGCAGCATTTCCATGATAACATGGTCTACTGACAGACAGATTTCACCTGCTGTCTGGAACTGCTAAATCAGAATGTGATGCAGGCACAAACCCAGTGTAACTAATGCTTAAAATCACTACCTATTAAATTGTTATACAATTTCCCCACAGTGTGGCACCAATGCACTGCCAGAAAGAAGACACACAACTCAAATATTCTATCAATTACAAATTTTCCCACTAACCATGGGCAAGAAATAAGCTGAGACACCAAAAGAGGTGCTGAATTCCTAATGGATCCTCGGTTCTTCCATTCCCTGTAAAAGCAGTAGCCATGTGCTGGTCTGCTTGCAGATGACTATAGGAGAGGAGGAGATCATCTAAAAGGAATCTCCCCCTGTGTATTATCAAGCATGTCCATGAGACACTGTCTTTTCTTTCCCTGTGATTGCAATAGGCAGCCTCTGATCAGGCAGTGCTTTGCATGAGACTAGAGTAATTAAGCCCTGCCCTGGGTCCCGGGGGAGATGCACAGAAGGTTAGTGATCCTTCGACATGACACGCTGTTATTTATAGATGATTAAGACCTATTTATCTCTGTGTAAATGTTGCTAGAGATAGGGAAGATCCTGGTGCACATCTGTCGCTGATTAGAATCCACCAGCTGCATGTCTTGTTGTGGGCTCTGCTTCTGGGTGGGGGGTCTTAACCCTAGCACCGCTGAAACATGACAGAAACCCATCATTCCTCATCTGGTCAATTCACATTCGGCACTGGACATTCTATTCAAGAGGCATCTGTGAGCCCATTATTTATTTGCCTGATAATTTCTCCTCTGTATTCATATTACTAAGCCCCAGTACTGTCATTGTACTTGGAGACTAGCAATGTACCATATGTTATCCATACACAGACCAATGGATTTTAAAACCAATTGGCTGATAATTGTCCAGTCAATGGAGAGCAGGTGATACTTCAATATCTGTGCGTCTCTGCTGCCACTGTTCACTTATTTCTACCATCACAAACAGAATCAGAGTTTGGGGAGGATACCAAATATCTGGATCTGTCAAATATGACAATATATATTTTTTGCCAAGTGTTTTAAAGGTCAGGTTCTCCTGCTTATCAATGCAAGTCATGGATCACATTGCCTACAATGAAAATGGTCTGGAAAGGTTGAGCGACAGGCAGAATTAGGTAAACAGAACTGTCACCAAGGTAAGATCTCCAATGTAGAAGAGAAAACTGGGGCTGCAGAGATACATAGGATGGAAAGATGCGGCAACTATTATTTTCATTACTGCTGTGTAGGGAGCAGAATACATGGTGTAAAAGATAAGGTTTCAGAATCACTGTGACATCACTATTGTATATATACCTATATTTTGTTTTCTGTCTATATCAAAGCTATCGTACTAAGGCTGGCCATACAATATACAATTTTATTGAGATTTTTGGTTTAGATTTACCAAAAACCATATAATTGGAGGTCATACCTAACAACACTTTCAATTGTATCCAATTAGGCAGGCTCTTGCACTACATAGTTGAAGGTAAATCTAAAGGAAATTGGGCAGAAATTGGACAGAAAATTGTATAGTGTATGGCCAGCCTTATGCAGGCCATAGACGGGTCGAAAATCGGCAGATTATTCGGCCGAAAAAAACTAAATCGGCCGATTTTCACACCGTTAGTGGGTTTATTGGTTGGCCGTTTTTTGGGGATTTGGCACATTTTTTTTATTGGTAAAGTTAGAAAAAAATCATCCGATTTTGCCGGCAATGATGGGCAAATCGGACAATCGTTTTACCGATAAAAAATCTGCGCATGAGCAGTGCCCTGCAAGAAGAAGAAAAAGAAGAAAAAAAAAAAAAAAAATAAAAAAAAAAAAAAAATTAAAAAAAAAAAAAGAAGAAGAAGGAAAAGAAGAAGAAGGAAAAGAAGAAGAAGGAAAAGAAGAAGAAGGAAAAAAAGAAGAAGAAGGAAAAGAAGAATTCCAGTCCGCTATTATATTTGACATGAAAAAGTATTGCGGCTGAAACAATGTGTCTATTTGTATCCGAATAAAAACATCTGTATCCGAAATGGATACAAAATGGATACGTTGTTGCAACCGCAATACTTTTTCATGTCAAATATAATAGCGGAGCTCTCTGCAAGGGACAGAAGTAATTAAATGCCGGCCATAGACGGGACGAAAATCGGTTGTTTTTTTTACTGTTGGTGGTAACGATGGCCTATTGAACGACCGATTTTTCTTTTTTTTTTTTTTTTTTTTTTTTTTTTTTTTTAAACGGCCGGTGTTCGACCCGTCTATGGCCTGCATAAGGGCCTATTCCCACCAGGTGTGGGAGGACTGTCTTGGGTGGCTATTCTGATGCAGTAACACTGCAAGACAAGTCAGAATGTCTTGTCTCCTATCTGGCTATGAGGTTACTAAAAAAAAAAAAAAAAAAAAAAAGCATGGCATGGCAGTGCAGCGCAATGAGTGGCAATCCATTGCCTTGCACCATGCTGTGTCCAACTGAATGTAATGAAATTTCACTGTGTGACATTTCAGTAAAGTGTATTAAAAAAAAAAGGACACAGTGCAATGCGCTGTGGTCTGTGAACTGGCACTGCTGTCATCCTTCTGAACATGAGCGGCTGTGTTCTAACAAAGCCGCTGGTGTGAAAAAGCCCTCAGTCTACCCAGATACAGAATATTCTGCTAACATGGTAGATTATTAGTTCAGTAGAGATTAAAAAGCAGCTTAATAGCCATGTTTTAAAAAAGTTTAAAAGTTTCACTTATTTTATATACAGCTTGCTGGTAGAAAACCTCTAAATCTGCATATCAGCATCATCAAAAAAGCTACGAGGGGCATTCAAGTCAAACTGGGACTTTTGAGGTTATATAATAAAAGAAAAAAATTTCAAGGAGTGCTAACTGCATTTATTGTTTTGACATACTCCCTTACTACATCTATACACTAATCCCAGTGTTTAACTAATGCCTGGGAAGCTTTGGCATAGAAAGATTTGTCAGTACATCTGAACCATCCTAGGACAGCCTGCTTCACTTCAGCATGATTGTGTTCTTACAAAGCCATCCACAACTCTGCCCCCAGCTACATCACTAAACTGGTCTCAAAACATCAACCAAACCGCTCTCTTCAATCCTCCCAAGACCTTCTGCTTTCTAGTTCCCATGTCACTTCCTACCATGCTGGCCTCTAGGACTTCTACCGAGCTTCTAACATCCTATGG